GACAGCGCGGCCACGGCCGGCCCTTGCCGGCCGTCCGGAAATATTTCCCGAACAAAACGACTTCAATTAACATTACATGAACATATAAACACATAATTGCTGAAAACATGAAAATTCACATGAAGACTTGAACTAAGGCCGCGGCGGCAGGCCGTGCGCCGCCGACGGCGTTGTGTCGTTCTTCGACCAAACCATATTATCTCTCGGCAATTCAATTATAATTGGACTTAAACATGATTTACTGAACATAATAACACATAATGGTCGAAGGTTATAACTTAACATGAAATCGTACTCGGGTGGCCGTGGTGCGCACTAAGTGTGCGACCACACTCCCTCGACCAACCCATTAACATGACTAAATTCATCCGAACACTTAAGCTAATTTAAACATGATATTGCATATAAAGGCTAAGCATGCAATAATGGTCGGAGAAAAATAACTTGGAACGTGACATGATGGTACGGCCATGGCTACGGCTATGCACGGCTATTAACATAAACGCGCATGCATGACAATTAAAATTCATCTTAAATAAACATGATATTCTCGGACAACAATCGACGGGAACTTACCTCTTATAAAGCTCAAGAGGTTAAAAGACTCAGAACCGTGCTCTCGGCCGCGAAGAACTCCGCGTGCGAGTGATGCGTTGCGTGCGCACGGTAACTCGCGGCGACGGACTGCTGCTGCTACTTGCTTGCGATACGCGTGACGGGCTGCTGCTACGCGCGATGGCTCTCGGACGCGTGATGGCTCTCGTGCACGCGGACTCTCGGCAATGAACGAGAATAACACTCAAAAAAATACACAACTCACACTATGCTCTCTAAATCTCACTACTCTCGGCACTTATGGAGGAAAAGGAGTAAAATGCTCCAAAGTCTCCCAAGTCACACTTAAAAACCGAAAGATTGGCGGAGAAAATGAGGGGGAGGACTACACATGGCCACCATGCACTAGTACTTGTCCCATTCACGTGAGAGCCAAGACAAAAGAGCAAGAAAGATGCTCGGTCAAAACCACTACATGTGCACGGCAATGGAACAAAAGCTCACCCTCTCACGCACAAAAATACAAAGTAGCGCACGGACAATGAGGGGGAGAATCTCGAGCAAAAGGACAAGGCCTATTTTTGGAAGGATGCACGGCCTTGGACACCCCGCCCATGCAACGCACACAACCCCACGGCACTAGCGGACAAGCACGGATTTCTTGGACAAATTGCACGGATACATAGCAATATGTTGGGAGGAATCTTGCGCAAAAGTACAAAAGCTTGCACGGTCTTCATGACTTGACGTTGGCACGGATTCTCTCGGACGAACGCGCGCGCTGGCGCGCGCACGGATTCTCGAACACACGCACGAGCGTATGCACGGCATTATGCACAAGGACATGGACCGAGCAATGCACGACATTTGCGAACAATGCACGGCTATGAACATGAACTCGGAATATAATCCGAACAATTAAGCTAGTCTCGTGATTAAGTTAAATTAATCACTTAATTATGTTTAATTATCCAATTAAACATAATGCTAAATTACTAAAATTATTTCGAACGTAAACGGTACGTCGAAAATATTTTCCGGTAATTCTGACTGAAATAACTGAAAATAATTAATTCTGAAAAATAATATCGGAACTAAAATATTATTATACTGATAAAAAGTCGGGATATTACAGTACTAAGGCGGCGCACGCATGTGCGATGCGCAAGACGTTAGGGCGGCCAAAAATAATTGAGGCGCATGGATTGGAATTGTTTGGAGTGCAAGCCAAGCAAGATCAAGATCTAGTCAATTTAGGACTCTAGTATATTTAGTTTCCTTCTTGCACAATAATATCTAGATTGTTTAGGAATTTAATATTTTATTGCTTTAATATGTTTCCTAGGTAGATTAGAATTAGTCATAGTTAGGATCTATAAATAGAGATCATCCCTCATTGTTTTTAAGGGGGAGAATTGATGAAATAGAAAAGGAACGTTTGCTCAAACCGTGTGTTAGAGTTCGTGAGAATTCGATCATGCAACCGAATTGGTGAGGCTAAGACCCAAGCCAGTTCAACGAGTTAGAGAGGCTAAGACCCGATCTAGTTCGAAAGATTGTAGCGAGGCTAATACCCGAGTGAACTCAAGTATCGTGAGAGAGTTAGTGTTACGGGTCTAACTTTGGGGCCCGGGACTTGGCACGATCCCTTAGAGTGCCAAGGTCCTAAAGATCCGAGCACAAAGGTGCGAGGGTTCAACTAAGGGAAGGATGCGAGCTGGGCGCGTCCTTGTGGCTGAAAGTCGGGTTCAGTCGGGTCTTCGTGGGGCGACGAAGACATATGTGCATTACTTAGCTGAAATTGTCCAAGTGTTGGTCGGATCATGTTTGTTGGTTAAGTCGAGGGCTCGGTCGGACGAGGGTTGCTGCGGGTTGTGCATGGCCTTGCGGTTACGTTGGTTTAACTCGGACGAGGGTGTTGGCTAATCGATCAAATGCATGGTTGGACTTAGGCGTATTCGGGAACGCGAGTGCTTCGATGATGCAGCTCGATGGGCGCGTGCGAGGGTGGCGCCGCGTCTAAGCCGTTGGCGGGAACGGTTGGATTTTTGAATTGGCAGTTGGGTTGCACGTGGACTAGTCGGTTACTATGTCCCACGTGGCCTAAGCGGATCATTCCTTCGAGCAGTTGCATGGCCGAGTGGGAACAAGAAAAGCAAGACGCGTGGCTGGGCGGTTTCCAGGGACACGTGGCCTTGACGGTTTTCCAACCTGCGAGGGAGTTGGACAAGGATAAAGCACGACGGTTGGTGCCCGTTGTTGCATGAAGCTGAGTTGGCGTCCGATGGATGCGTGCACGTGCCAAGGGGCGGTTGCGGATAACTGCTGGGCGGTTACCAAGCGGTTGGAACTGCTGGGTCTGAGGCCTATAAATAGGCTGAGGCAAACACATGCGCGGGGGAGCGAAACACGAGCGAAAACACGAGAGTGCAAGGCAAACAGATAAGTGAACGAGTGTGTGAACAAGTCTGTGTACTGTATACTTGTAGATGCTTGAGTTGGCATACGCTAAGTGTAATAGCAAGCTTGTGTAGGCCAAATTCTGTAAGGCTGGTACTTGTATTCATGTATGTGTGTGCCTGCGTGCACTAAGGTGTTGGTGTGAACCGTGTATGCAAGCTGTAGGACCATTCCATTGTACTTTGTGATATAATAGTACTTGGTTGGGCGTGAGCCCGTAATATTGCGTGTCACTTATTTACTTGATAGCTTCCGCATGCGTATGTTTGTGACGTGCTTGCATAACCTCGATTGATACTTGTATGGGCGAGCGAACGATCGAGGGACGGTGAAAGGCTGACTGGTTCAAGGGGAATCAGGCCGCATAGGGTGCTAAGGAGCGAAAAATTTTAGCTCAAAAGAAGGCCCTGTGACAAGTGGTATCAGAGCCCATTTCTGGGTTCTGACTGCTGTACGTGTTGGAAAAATGGGCGATTCAAATCGACCCACTGATCAACTCTTGATAACCCTTTCGGCGAGGATACAAAGGCTGGAAGACATGATGGGGCGACCGCCTCAAACACCTGTCTATGCAGCGGTCTTCGAGCGATTACAAACAACTGACGATGCGCTCGCTGACTTAAGCAAGAAGGTGGACGCTATGGTGAACTCGGTGGAGTCGCTGCCTGAATTCGTTGAAGGGCGGATGGATTCCACGCGAGATGAATTCATGTTGCTGTCGGAAGCGGTTGAGTCCAAGGTCAAGAAGATCATGGATGACGTGTCCCTACTGAAGAGGGTGGGCGCGAGTGTGCTCGAGGAGCAGCGTCAATTCCCATCGAAAGTCCGAATTCCAGATCCTAAGACGTTTGATGGTACCCGAGATGCCAAGGATGTTGAGAATTTCCTTTGGGACATGGAGGCGTATTTCCATGTAGCCAGAGTCCTGGACGACGAGAAAGTGTCTATAGCGAGCATGTTCTTGTCGGGGGACGCAAAGCTCTGGTGGCGTGCGCGAGCGTCTGATGACGTTAGTGCAAATCGGGAAGGGATCAAAACGTGGGATGTTATGAAGCGAGAGTTGAGGGATCAGTTCCTACCTTGCAACACAGATTGGGTTGCGAGGGAAGCCTTAAGAAACCTGAAGCAAGAGGGTGCGGTTCGTGAATATGTCAAGGTTTTCAGTTCCTTGATGCTTGACATTAGTGAGATGTCGGAGCGGGACAAGTTGTTCAACTTTATGGCGGGATTACAAGGATGGGCCCAAGCCGAGTTGCAGCGGCAAAGGGTTAGTGATCTGCCTACGGCAATGGCTGCTGCCGAGCGCCTTGTAGATTTCAAGGTGATTGGTGCCTCTGACTCGAGTGAACATGTGAAAGACTCGACGAAGAAGGATGGGAAATCAAAGAAGTTCAAAGGTGGAAAGCACCGAGAGAAGTCCGACGAGGGGAGTAGTGGTACGCCCCGTGATACGTCCAAACAAATGATGGTGGACCGAAGTCGTGGCTGTTTCTTGTGTGATGGCGACCACTTAATGAAGGATTGTCCCAAGCGATTCAAGGCCAAAGCTAACGCCTTAGTGGTGAAAGGCGATGCATGCGACGATGAAGGCACGATTGGCCTAAACTCGTTGGTGCTATTGAACAACGTAAGTGTCCAAGACGAATCATGTTCGGGTTTAATGTTTGTGAAGGCTGCTGTGAAGGATAAGCAAATCATGGCAATGGTGGATTCGGGTGCATCCCATTCCTTCATGAACGAGACGATGGCCTCGCGGCTAGGCCTTAAACTTGAGCCAAGTGACGGATTGAGGATGAAGTCTGCTACGCGCACAACACCAATCAAGGGGGTGGCTGAAGTGGACATGGTCATTGGACCGTGGAAAGGTACGTGCAAGGTGCATGTGTTGTCTCTTGATGACTTTGAATTAATTCTGGGCATGGATTATCTCAAAGAAGCGAAAGCTTATGTGATGCCGCACTTGAGCAAGATGGTGTATGTGTTGAATGGAAAGGAAGTTTTCCATGATATTCAGTGGGCGTTGCCGAAAAAGAAAGATGCTTTGCGGGTTTCGACTATGCGAGTTGAGCAAGACCTGGGGCAGGCTGAAGTTCTTTACCTTGCTGCAGCAACTAAGAGTTATTTGGAGGGGCCGGATACTTGTTGTAGTAAGTCTGATCGTGAGATGCATGTGGGAAAAGGTGAACTAACTAGACGGGTTCATAAGATTTTGGACCGAAAGACCCGAGGACGAGGAAGTAAAAGACGGACTTTTTACTTAGTCCATTGGATAGGTGAGCCGAGGGCTAAGGCAACCTGGGTTCGAAACGTTGAGTTGGTCCCATTCACGAGGCAGATTGCAAGGTTCGAGGTATGCTTGCGGATTTTCCCCAAGTCGACGAGGGCGTCGACGAACTTAAGTGGGGGAGGTCTGTTACGGGTCTAACTTTGGGGCCCGGGACTTGGCACGATCCCTTAGATGTCCAAGGTCCTAAAGATCCGAGCACAAAGGTGCGAGGGTTCAACTAAGGGAAGGATGCGAGCTGGGCGCGTCCTTGTGGCTGAAAGTCAGGTTCAGTCGGGTCTTCGTGGGGCGACGAAGACATATGTGCATTACTTAGCTGAAATTGTCCAAGTGTTGGTCGGATCATGTTTGTTGGTTAAGTCGAGGGCTCGGTCGGACGAGGGTTGCTGCGGGTTGTGCATGGCCTTGCGGTTACGTTGGTTTAACTCGGACGAGGGTGTTGGCTAATCGATCAAATGCATGGTTGGACTTAGGCGTATTTGGGAACGCGAGTGCTTCGATGATGCAGCTCGATGGGCGCGTGCGAGGGTGGCGCCGCGTCTAAGCCGTTGGCGGGAACGGTTGGATTTTTGAATTGGCAGTTGGGTTGCACGTGGACTAGTCGGTTACTATGTCCCACGTGGCCTAAGCGGATCATTCCTTCGAGCAGTTGCATGGCCAAGTGGGAACAAGGAAAGCAAGACGCGTGGCTGGGCGGTTTCCAGGGACACGTGGCCTTGACGGTTTTCCAACCTGCGAGGGAGTTGAACAAGGATAAAGCACGACGGTTGGCGCCCGTTGTTGCATGAAGCTGAGTTGGCGTCCGATGGATGCGTGCACGTGCCAAGGGGCGGTTGCGGATGACTGCTGGGCGGTTACCAAGCGGTTGGAACTGCTGGGTCTGAGGCCTATAAATAGGCTGAGGCAAACACATGCGCGGGGGAGCGAAACACGAGCGAAAACACGAGAGTGCAAGGCAAACAGATAAGTGAACGAGTGTGTGAACAAGTCTGTGTACTGTATACTTGTAGATGCTTGAGTTGGCATACGCTAAGTGTAATAGCAAGCTTGTGTAGGCCAAATTCTGTAAGGCTGGTACTTGTATTCATGTATGTGTGTGCCTGCGTGCACTAAGGTGTTGGTGTCAACCGTGTATGCAAGCTGTAGGACCATTCCATTGTACTTTGTGATATAATAGTACTTGGTTGGGCGTGAGCCCGTAATATTGCGTGTCACTTATTTACTTGATAGCTTCCGCATGCGTATGTTTGTGACGTGCCTGCATAACCTCGATTGATACTTGTATGGGCGAGCGAACGATCGAGGGACGGTGAAAGGCTGACTGGTTCAAGGGGAATCAGGCCGCATAGGGTGCTAAGGAGCGAAAAATTTTAGCTCAAAAGAAGGCCCTGTGACAGTTAGGCTAATAACCAAGTCGATCACACCTATCGTCGAGAGTAAGGCCGTGGCGAAGCCGTGATCGAGACAAGTCGAGGGAACGCAACACCCGATCTGTAACACCCCACTTTGATTTTAAAGAAATTCCGGCCTTTCCAAAAACAAGTATAAATTTTTCGAACTCATTTTCGAAAACATGGGCGTTATTCAACATTTAACATCAACCAAGTAATATCTGGTTGTTCACATGGTTTTCATTAACCTTTGAACTTCAATTCCACATGATTATTAGCTAAACAGTATAGCATGCATAATCGAAAACACGTGATATTCAATAAATAACTCCAATACGAATATCTAAACAAAGGGTCTAAAAATCCCAAAACGGACAAGTTTAAAAACAGTTCAACACGTCTCAAGAACCACACTTTAATCATAATGGAAGCGAAATCATACACACAGAAATCATGACCAACCCACTCGTCTTTCCCCCGTCATCCGGCACCTGCTTAACCTGCATCCGTGAAGAGCAGGTGGGAGTGAGCACAAAATGAACGTAGTGCTCACTACTATGCACATAAATAACACATGTCAAATGGTATGGTCACAGCAAGAATATAAGATAATCACATCATGTCTCATCTCCTATCAAAATCACAACAACCACATTACTCCTGTGCACATCCATCGCTAGCCGCAGAACGGGGATTCATTACCCGAAGGCAGGAGTATATGCCACGCTACGGACACGGCCTTCCATATGGGCTTACGTACCTCGCAAGGGAACAACCATATCAGGACTTAAGCAGACTTGCCTCACAAGGGCAACCGTATTACATCGACGGGGACAACCGACGGCCGTAACAGCTCACATCGATAGGCTACATATTTCATATTCATACATAGATCATACCCACAAGTATAAACATTCATCATTCATGGCATAGACAATTTTAGATTAGAACCCACTTGGTATACTGAAATATCTGGCAAGTGCTCGAAACTGAAGTAGCTGTCGGAGGCTCGACTCTCCTTAAGCTACAAAAATATATAAGCAAATAAATGCTAAGTATTATGCTCAACTGCATATATTAATATGTTCGGTTCTATATGCTTACTTATCTGGATGTAACAGAATTCTCTAAGGGTTTGCAAAAGAAATATACTAAGTCCAGATAAAACAGGTATGCTCTAACTAGACTGATATGGCTCGGAAAAATACTAAAATTCTCCAGAACCTACTTGGACTAGAAAAATCTAG